TCAAATGTTCTTCTGCTATGCCGAATTTTAGAGAGAAATATGACCCATTCTCGAGATCCGGCTGTTACAACATTGTTTGCTCATGTGGTTGATGTTATGTTGGCGAGACATTCCGACCTATTCGACCAACATTGGCAGAACACAGAAATGCTTGGAAGACAATAAGTTCTTACCCTTTCTAGATGTTCTTGTCATTAGAGAAGAAAGTAATTTGGCTCTCCATAGTTACGAGACTAAGGTTGGAATTTTGAAGTCAATGATTCTTAGAAGTATGACGCTAGCAGATAGCAAAAATTTGACTAAAGAGTTGCAACGGCCGACGAATGTATTCCTGGAAAATAATTATCATTTGTGCCTCATTGAGAATAATATCTCTCTACTGAGAAATACATTTTCAGACGAAGACCATTTAGTCAAAGAGATACAGACTAAGACCTTTTCCTATGTCCTAATTTTGCCGTCATGACTTCTCTCAAAAAAGATAGACGAATTTATAAGAAAAGGAGGATAAAGACAGTGCACGAAGAAACACTCACACTTTTTTATGTTATGTCATCTTTATGAGAGAAATATGACCCATTTTTGAGGTCCGGCTGCTACAACATTGTTTGCTTATGTGGTTGATGTTATGTTGGCGAGACATGCCGACCTATTCGACCAAGATTGGCAGAACATAAAAATGCTTGGAAGGCAATAAGTCCTTACACTTTCAGAATGTTCTCGTCATTAGAGAAGAGGGTAATTTGCGAAAAGATGTTTATAGGAAGCCAATATATGTTGGCACTCCATAGTTACGAGACTAAGTCAATGCTTCTTAGAAGTATGCAGCTAGCGGATAGCAAACATTTGACTAAAGTGTTGCAACAGCCGACAAATATATTCCTGAAAAATAATTATCCTTTGGACTTAATTGAGAATAAAACATGCCGACCTGTTCGACAAAGATTGGGAGAACACAAAAATGCTTGTCAAGGAAGCTGGGTCCAACGGTGAGAAGTGGCCGAACACGGTAGAAAGTGGACATGAAATAAAATGGTCTCAAACGAGTAGGTTTGCGGATTACGGTACGTCTGTTGTTAAAAGAAAGACAAGAGAGGCAATTGAGATGAATAGAATTGGGCATACGTAGAATGTGAGCAAGGCTGGTAGAAAGTGGAGTGGAAACTGCTCGTGCTTGATTGATGGATTGAGGGAGAGAAGACGACTCAACTTGTCTGCTCGGCGATGCTTCCAACTGCACTTGCAGTCGTCCAAAATGTGCGATCGAGCTCATCAGCCAAACCTGACGTACCAGATTACGCAGCACCAGCTATGCCTCTCTTTGGATGGTTCTGATTTGTCGTTTCTTAACCTGATTTACACGTTTTTATCTCATCATGACGACCATATTTGCTCACATACTTACAGTCCCGGTAACGGCTTTCTCTTGGGTTAACAAGAGTTTAACATTAACCTTTTTTTCGTATTAAAGTAGAGTTTCGAGACTAACAGTAAATCAATAGTACGAGATGTATTGACTCTATCACGTCTAAGGTGATGAAAAACTGGTAGAAGAAGAATTTTCCCACAGGGCAGATGTACATTTCAAGGAAGGCTATATCATATTCTTTGGTAGTTAATAAAAAAAGAAATTTTACGAAAAATATTGTAAAATTACAATGAATTCTAAACACATGATTATAATTAAGAAAG